CCAACCTAAGAGCTTCTTGTTACTAGTAGTAATGGCCACCTACTAGCGATGGCCTCCACATATAATGGCTTCTTCTTACTAGAAGAACAACTTTTATGTCCTAGTGGTGTATGCCATAAGGATTGGGACTATGCCGTAGGATTTGCTTACATGCGCACTTAGGCAATGCTTACCCGAGGCTTTAGCTTATGTATACATACCGCAAAATCAAACCATCATCCTCATCTTCCCTGCTTTGACCATGTTCGAGCTATGCTGACCAAAACGCCCAACCCCGAGCCAGCGCTCCCCAGATCCGCTCCAGCCAGGCTGCAGGGGTGGCCCAGCCAAGATGGCGCCGGCGGCCGCGCCGAAGGTGATGAGAGTCGCACCTCGAACGACGACCGAATCGCTGGAGGCGTCCTGACTCGTGGCACATCGTGGAGAAAGGACGCGGAGAAAGGCCGCGGTGGAGGCGCGGGTGGAATCCGCCACGTTTTGGGATGTTCGAGATGGGTGACCAGGCGATGCAACAACTGAACTCGGTAGACGTGGACTTCCCGTGCAATCGTCAGCCGCGACTGGGCTTGGTTGATGTGGCCCATCATGGTGATTTGCGTGTCGCTCTGCGTGTGCTGCAGCGCTTGTCAATAAAAATCAAAGTACCCTTTGCACCACATTGGACCAAAGCATCTTACAATTTGTCCAGTACATTCATGTACATACTCAAACAGTCAAACCTACACGATAGCCAAACTATGCTAAACTACTGCACAAATGCATATCCGTTAGACTGCAGGAAAGCGATTTGACAAGGGCAGTCTTCTTGATGTTCAAAGTCAACTCTTGGTTTTAGCACGTTTTTTGACGGAGGCCCTAGTAGGTTGGAGGCCATCCCTACTAGGGTGGCGGCCATCTCTCTTAGGATAGGGGCTCGAGGCCATCCCTTCTAGGGTGGAGGCCATCGCTACTTGTGTGCAGGCTATCGCTTTAGTAGGTTGGAGGCCATCGCTCTTAGGTTGGAGGCCGTCGCCAGTAGGTTGGAGGACATCGCTACTAGGGTGGAGTCCATCGCTATTACGTTGGAGGCCATCTCTCTAGGGTTAGAGGCCATCTCTACTAGGGTGGAGGCCATCCCTTAGGTTGGAGGCCATCGCACTTAGGTTGGAGGCCATCGCTGGTAGAATGAAGGCCATCGCTAGTAAGTTGGCGGCCATCGCTCTTAGGTTAGAGGCCATCGCTAGTAGGTTGGAGGGCATCGCTCTTAGGTTGGAGGCCATCACTAGTAGGTTGGAGGCCATTCCTATTAGGTTGGACGCCATTGCTAGTTTGGCGGCTGGTGGCCATCGCTAGTAGGGTGGAGACCTTCACTCTTAGGTTGGAGGCCATTGCTACTAGGGTGGAGGCCATCTTTGATAATGAGGAGGTCGAGGTCCACTTTCGCATCATCTTTTTTTCTCAGATCTTTAGGAAGCGAAAGGTGTGCCTGACGGCAAAACGCAGCTGGGAGCAGCACCCCAAGTCACAAAGTGGTCATTCCAGTCGTCATTGTCCAAAGACCTTCAGGTGTCTCATCGAAGAAACCAAGAAAGCAAAATCCTGAAGGTCCGTTTCAAAAGCATTTCCGTGTCCCTTAGACCGATCAGGTGGTCCTTTAGACCTTTAGTCCTTTCATCCCTTTCTTCCGTGGAAATGCAAACGATGAAAGCACATCGCCAAGCCCGGTCTCTGTGACGATGTCTGTGCATTCTCGTTCCGTTCTGTGGCTCGTTCACTGCATCTGGGTGTCTTCACCCATCATCGCCGCAAGTTGTAGCATCGCCATACCTGTCCACAAGAGACGAAGCGCTGGGATGAAGCAGTTGGCAAGTAAATATTGCAAATACAGCAGTTCATGAACATCAGTAGTAGCAGCAGTAGTAACTGCAATGACATTTACTCCAAGTTCAACAGTGTTTTTCTTCGGATATCAGTTGGGTTGGTCCCTTCGAGAAAAAAGAACATATGAGCAACAGGCCAAGCTAGGGGTCATTTGGTGGTAAATTTAAGGCAGGTGTCGTTTTTGGGATTGTTATCGTTTGCTTTTTCAAATCCTTTTGACCACGTCTTTTGGATATTATGCCACTGTGGCCGTCCTCGTGTTGAGTCGGGAGCGGACCCGTCCGACCGGGCCGTGACCGGGCCCTGGGGCCTGCCGAGGCACCACTCCTTTCTGAAGGACTTGAAGGCCTCACGAGGTGACCCCCCCCAAAAAACAAACAATGGTGGCCAACAACTTTCGGAGGTGACGTGATTGTTGGTTAGCTGCCTTTTTTTGCATTTCTATTCTTTTTTATCTTCAGAATGACTAAATTCGTCGCTGAGACAAGACTGGCAACTAGGTGGAGAGATGCAATTTTGTAGGGCCGTGAGGAGGAAGTTGTTCTGTCTGGGCAAGTTAGATGTTCACCAAAAGAATCACCCATCATCGTGGCGTACGGGAGTTGTTGTCCATCGTCTACTCGCATTTTAAAGCATGTGTATGATTCACAGTTGCCTTGTGGAAATAGAAGGACATAGAACATGACATTAAGAAAGTATATATATATAATATTTGAAATAGAATCAACAAACATGGAAACTATAGAATCATTCTTGTCATTCTTCTTTATTGTTCCCACAATCGAATCCCCCTCAAAAAAGGCAACGAGAATCGTGACATCTTCTCGTTCCGGTGCTCCCGGGACGCGTCCTTCAGATCCCACCCTCCTGCCACACGACGTGTCACACGACGTGTCACGACGTGGACCCGACCTGCACATTTCCGAAGTTGCCCTGATCGAAGCCGAACATGGCGGCCCCTGAGGCGAAAGAGCAAAGCGATTTCGCGTTGGAAAAGCATGTTCTTTGTCAGGCCATTGTTCGGTCCGAGGGCTTGGTTTCGTTCGCGTTGGTGAAACACACACATCTGCACCCCCAGAGGTCGTGTCAAATCCATGAAATTTACGGCAAATGCATCATATTCTATTGGTGGTATATACTGGTACTGTGATGTAACAAAGAAGCTACTAGGAACAAGTGCATCGCTTCTAGTAACAAGTGCCTTACTAGTAGGAGCAAGGTTCGCTAGTATAGGAACAAGAAGCTACTAGGAGCAAGTGCCACGCTAGTAGTAACAAGTTCATCGCTAGTAGTAACAAGTGCCTTACTAGTAGTAACAAGAAGCTACTAGGAGCATTCATTCAACGTTTCTGGACTTCGAAGCCGGGAAGAGAGGTTGATACCGGTCGTGTGGCAGCCCCGCCTACCATGGCCACCCCAACCGCCACATACATTTGAGGACTGGCTCGTGCCTGAGCAAGAGAATGGGGTGTCTGATAGTTTGGGGAACCATGAAGTACAGAAGGGTGACACAACTGATACTGTGTCTGTCATAAGTCTCCATCTCGAACACCCTCGCTATTAGGCTGGAAGCCATTCCTATTAGGTTGGAGGCCATTGCTTATTTGGTTGGAGGCCATTGCTATTAGGTTGGTAGGACCCTGAAACAGTCCGCAACCTCACGGCACGAGGCTCACGATGTTGTGCGGATTGGTAGTGTTTTATCCTGTCAATGCCGGGAATCGTTTTGACCCTGATCAATAAACTCAACGCCCTGGAGTGGCATCTCATCAGCCGCAAAGCCAAAATCTTCTAAACGCTTCAGCTTGGGTTCCTTTTTGTTGGTATTGTTCGGCAAAGGAATGGGGTTTATCTCCTGGAACAAAAAACTATCAGCTTGGCAAACAACATATCCATCAGGGACGCATCCCTGCGGCACCTCTGCGGCACCATGCTCGACCTGGGGAAGAAGAAGATGCTCGGCATAGACTTTTAGCTTCGCCCGACACCGCTGGTCTGACTGACATCGCTCGGCTTCTCCGAGCTCACCAAGCGTTCAGAAGGCGCTCACCATGTTTAAAGTTTGGGGTCTCAATGCAATGAACATCCAAGAATGCTACGCCATCGTAGTCGTTCTTGACCTGCCGAGTCTCAGAACACAACACATGGTCGTCATTCTCGTCTCGCACATGTCTTCTGATGTCATGTGAGACGGTCTGGTGAACATTCTGCAGCAAGACTGTAAACCACCAAAGGAGTCAGCTCTCTTGTGAGGAAAGATGATTGCTTCAAAGGAGACAATCCACTTTGCGCCGCGAGAACCATGCAATCCTGAGATCTGTGTCGTGCTTCTCCACGCCTCTCTCTCTCTCTCTCTATCTCTCTCTCTCTCTCTTTCTGGCTCTCTTCTCTTGTTTCGCTACCAAGCGCATCCCCACCACACACACATACCCCCCAAAGCATACTCACAATCCCTGACATCTGCGCGTTGTCCGACGTCGCCTCCATTGTTGCACCCCGAAGCCACTAAGAGTAAGGCAAATGTGCTATGAGAGCCAGAACATGCGTGCGGTGAGCATGCGTGCGGTCACGCGTTCGTCGGGCCATGGGTCCCATGTGATCATGAGAAAGAATTCTTCTTTGGGACCCGAAGGGAGTTTCAATCACCAACAAGCTGCGTCCACTTTCCGGTCAACAACTCATTGTGGTGAACCTGGCAACCTAGAGATCCTATTTATATCTATTTATATTGGGTCTATCTTATTACAGGCCTTGTTCAAAAATAGTAATAATTGTTTACTGACTGTTACAGGTAATAGGACAGACCCAACCTATAAATATTGCAAAGTCAGAGAAAACATCAATGGACATGGTAGGGCCTTTGAAGACCTCTTCTTTCTGTCATGCTGCTCTGCTGTGGTCTGCTGTGCTCTGCTATTTGTGCAAAGACATACTCATAGCGGATGCAGGTCCTCCTCCGGATTTGCTGCCATGCCGTAGTGGTTTGGTCTTGCAAAAAACGGAAGGAAACAATCTTTCAGGGTCCAACAAAAACAGAAGAAAGGAACGAGAAATCATCTGTAAATTCTATGTCATCCTTCTGTGTCATTCGTCCTTAGCTCTTTTCAACCAGACCGTGCCATAGTCCTGACGCCCCCGGCACCAAGGATCACGAAGAAGATCAACGTCGCCAAGGGCGTCTCACTGCAGATTTGCCTCGACGACACCACATGGAAGACTGCAACCGGAGTGTGGACGAAGGTCTTGAATAGTTATGGGACTAGGTATGGGATAAACGAGGTCAACGAGGCAAACTACAAAGACACATGACCAGTCGCTGGTTCGACTACTTAGTCGACAAAGATTGACAGCTTGAGTTGAACCTTGATTCTGCACTGTGTGTGCAGCACAGTCAAATGTTTATGTTTGGATGTCCTATGAAGAACACATGCTGGTTCCACCTACATCTCCGTTGTCCTTGAAGAACATATGGAACAAAACAATTTCAATGAGGGGTGAAGTCTGCCAGTGACATTGATGTGAGTACCCTGGCTGCGACGTCAATAGTTCACCAATAAAACGCAAACAAACCTGCCGGTTCACCGACATGATTGCCATGATTGTCAATCGAAACTGGTCACGCTGAGACCAGCACACTTTGATGAAAGGCACTGCCTCAAAGGCTGTCTTGCCACGAGAGTTTAAGTCTGGCAAGAACACATGCAATGTGCTGTATTAGCTCTGCGTCCTTGATTAAAAAAGAACATTCTGCACGCAATCCAGATGCATTGCATTTCATTGTCAAATTATGTATCTATATAAGTGGACTTGAGGGCCTAATGCAGTTCAATGCGATCATGCACTAGCAAATCCTGTCTGAACAACATCCTGGCCATGCGCAGAAGTTGTGCTTCATTGTGCTTCTATTTCTGCTTCAGCCCTGAGCACGTTCGGAACATTTTCTTCAGCATCTCCAAGATCCGCAACCACCGACGGGCGCATTTCCCATTTGACCTACGCTGAAGTGCTCCGAACTAGGCTTCCGTGCAGCATCACCTGTCGAATCAAAATTGAGATGATTCACCAAATGCTTCGCCAAATGCGTCACCTACCAAAGTGTAGAAAATGACTGACAGGCCTACAAAAAGGATGCTTTCAGAGAACCCGGTGGGAGGGAAAGAAACCTGCGAAGAGATGAAGTTTCTATAGCAAGAAACATTTATACTACATGCGAGTACTAGGACCAAAGCCCTTGAGTTATCTATCCCCTCCTTCTCAAACATTTTGGCAATCTCCACATGCCCCCAAAAAATATGTCCAGTAAACATGGGCCCGGAGTCCAAGTTTGTGCGGTCCCCAAGGAATCAAAGACTTTTGGACTGCTACAAGTCCTGCACACCCAAACCACCGCCCGAGCGGAGATTGCCAAGCGATGTCTATGGGCATCATCAGTGTCAGATGCATCCTTTGCACAAACGCACATCTTGGATAGATTCCTTATGACTGCTGATTGGCTGCTCTATCAGTTGCAAAATATTGCCAGCTTCTATAGTGGGACAAAGCTTTTCAGCGCTATGATCAAGTTTAGTGTAGTGTGAGCATCCCGGTAAAGAAGTCAATTCAAAGGTTATCGAACTTGGCAATACGCATGCCTTTTAGCCAGATAAAAATCCGTCAGGTTTCCGTCACTGAAAACCGCTATCATCTAACTAGTCTGACTAGCGCTACGCTTCGGCCACGATACAAACATGGTTACACAAAATGCCCACACCTTGCACCTCTCTACCAGTTAAGCCCTATCACGCTACGCCAGTTGAACAAATCTCCATGGATATGTGCACAAAACATAGAACCAGCTTCTTCAAGACATCGCTACTAGGAGCAAAGGGCATGGCTACTAGTAGCTCCTGGCATTGCTACTAGTAGCAAGGACGCTACGAATGTAGCTCTTTGCTACTGCTAGTAGCGATGCCCTTTGCTCCTAGTAGCTTCTTGTAAAAAAGTGCCAGCTTCTTCAAGACCTGCCAACATGCTTGCTTTGTTTCTATTAGCGATGGCCTCCAACCTAATAGCAATGGTACTAGGTTGACCTAGTAGCTTCTTGTTACTATAGTAGTAATGCCAGGATCTACTATTGGCGTCCTTGTTCCGAGTAGCGATGCCCTTTGTTCCTAGTAGCTTCTTGCTCCTAGTAGCTTCTTGTAAGAAAGTGCACACAAAATATAACCAACTTCTTCAAGACCTGCTGCAACTGGCCTTCAGCGACGGAAGCCAAGATATCTGGACATGGAGCTCGTCCCACATTTCCTTCGTACCTCTCACAGAACATCTTTTTGTGCATGTGTAGGAGAGGAGCGTATGTCAATTATGGTCAAAGGATGAGTTGAATCCTGGCCAACATCAAATAGCTTCAGTCCTTGTCTCAAGTAGTGAATCTCGTGCACATATGTGCTCCATCGTGCTGTCTGTTCTTGTGCATTTGTACACTTCCATCTCCCAAAGAAAGAAGCTACTAGGAGCAAGAGGACGCTACTAGTAGCTCCTGGCATTACTACTGGTTTCAAGAAGCTACTAGGGTGGAGGCCATCGCTATTGGAAACAAGGAAAAAAGGAAGGGAAGAAAAGGAACAATGGAAGGTACGGCTGAATCGAACCGTACCATCTGTTCTTTTTCCTTTTCTTTCGTTTCAATGACTCCTTTAGTTTCTTATTCTTTATTATGCTTTCTTTTTTAACCGCGCTCTCTCTCTCTCTCTCTCTTCGTCGCCTCTGCGCCGCGCTGAAGGATGTCAAAATGCTTAGGGCCTCCGTTGTTGCCGAGCCATCGGATGTTTTTCTTTTTTTTTTTTTATATGTTTTTTTAATCACAACAAGAAACTGAAGAGCTAAAGGAACATAATGGAACCAATATATAAGCACACTTCATGAAACACGTATATATCAATCAAACGCGTATATATTAACACAAACATCTAAACCAAATCCGTCCCCTCTAAACTGAGTGGAGCAGCCTGCAATCTGAGCCCGATCCTGATTTGTCCGAGAGATTTCATGAAGCCTGTGGCATCCTTCGGTGGTTGAATAGCCTGTTTCTTCGGGACAGTTTCTGTACCCTCCTTGGAGATAGTCCCGATTCCATGAGAGATTGGTAGATGCTCCCAGGAGGTTTGACTGTTTTGATTTACACACGTTGAAAAATGCCTTCGTCTTCCCAAAAGCCTTCTCCCAAGCTGTGGTAAGCACAGGCCTTGTAGCAGGATAGGGTGGCAGTTTGCTTGAATCTACTGGGCTGCTGACTAAAGTCAATGGCGAGTCCACGTCTGACTTCACACATGTTGGGCCTGCAGCAGAAGTTGCATTCACTGCTGAGATGGCAATGCAAGCCCACCATCAAATGGTTATCACCAACTCTCCATTCAAAGCAATCCTGCCTCTTACCAACGACAACTCATTCAGGTCATATGCGCACTACCTAGCTGATACAAGGTCGGGCTTGGTCAAGGCCTTCGAAGTAATAACCTCCGCCGTTGAGGAGGAAATTCATCTCTGTCCCAATTGCCTGCACCACAAAATCATCGAGGTGCGCACTCAAAGAGTGTGCAGTCCATAGCAAATGCGAAAAAGACTTGCTTGGACTTCTCGCTTTGCCTGTAGGGCACAGCTTATAGCTGGCTTGCACTGAAAACACGGAACGCTTGATTGGGTCACCAACCACTAAACATCACAAATGACTTTCAAATGACAAACAATGCTTGGAATCAAATGCTGGAATCACGTCCGATGCTGGGATCAGTGCCCACTCCCTGGGCTTGCTAAAGTCTTGAAACACAATCTGAGATATGACAACTTCACTTCGCCTGTAGAAGAAGTAAAGCTCCATGGATTGCGAAACCCTGGGAGAGTAGGGACTGAATTCGTGTAGAACGGTTATCAAGATGCCACATGTCTGAGCAAAGACTCCTTTTTTGAGGTGTGCAGGGAGAATATCCTCGAGGAGGTTGGAGGCCATCGCAAGTAGGGTGGAGGCCATCACTATATTAGGTTGGAGACCATCGCTAGGGGGTAGGTTCTTAGACTTTGTAGCTATGTAGTTGTTCACACATTGGTCCTGGAGGCATGCTAACTTGCTGTCTAAGCTAGAGACCTTTGCAACAACTCTTGATGCTACGCCTGCTACGCTCACGCTCGGCATCCGGCTCCATAGCCAATGCATGTCCATTTACACAGCTTTGGAATTTGCCTGGCACTCCCCGGGGGCGATGGAGCTCGCGCGTCCTCGACGTTGGGCGCGCCCAAAAGAACTCACCACGTTGGTCATCGGGAAGCGCTTTCGTCGGAAAAGATCGGAGCCGGCGCTGCGAGTACAAATGCTTTTGAATGTACACACACAACTACCAGATTTGATGGTGGGCACACGATCCATATATGACCCAACCTGCAACCGTACGGCTCAATTTCCGTCACAGAAGCAACCAGTTGGTTCTGATGATGCGATATCAAAGGCAAGCAGGTTGGTTGTTCATACAGCTAAGTAAAGCATTCATTTCCATGTGTCTTCTTCTGAGCCTACTTCTTCTCGCCACATGCGTTTCACAAGCCAGCAGCTGCATGCGCAAGGCCAGCAGCTCTGCCACAGGCATAAAGATCCCACCGAGGCCGGCAAAGAGACCCAAATTGAAACGAGCCTCACAACGAACGATGTCGGCCACGAAGAATGAACCAACAAAACATGTAAACAAGTTTGTGTTATTCCTTTTTGTCTAATGCTTAAAACTGTAGTTATTTTTTGGACATATTTTTGTATGGCTTTCAAAGCATCGCTACTAGGAACAAGTGCATCGCTACTAGTAACAAGTGCCTTACTAGTAGTAACAAGAAGCTTTTTTTTTGTCTAATGCTTTTCAATTTCCTTGCCAGTTCGAAGAGACATCGTCGTCTAGGGGGACGGTCATGGGGACGCTCCGGAAGTACACAGGTCATGTAGACGGTTGATTGCAGAACACAAGGAATGTTGTTCATTCGTCAAGAGTCTACATTGACATTGCCTATTCTAGGGTTCTTCTCGGAGTGTCGGTTTCCTTCATCTTCACCAATGTTCTTGGAGCGCCAGTCACCATCCAACGAGTAATTTGTCAGCTGTTCTAAGTCAGGATTGGTTGGCCATGCTGCTTTCCGCCGGTTCAATACATCTTTAAAAGATCTTGATGCAAGAAGAAGTGGATGATGGCCAACTGCAACTGCTTCTGTAGAACGGTGTACGGTCGATTGTGGGAGCCGCACTCGACCATTTCCTGGAGCAAAACATTGCAAAACCCTTCACTGAGCAGCTGCCTTCTGTGTCCCCGGCCACTGCAATATCACCGGCTGAACCTGCCCATCTTGTTGCCTGCAAGGCCCGTAGGGCAAGGGCCAAAGGGCATTCAGTTGGGAGGAACGCTGGTCAAGGTGACTAGTGTAGAAAGTTACAGGAAAACATCGGTGACGTAAGTAGTCACGTCATGTTCTTCCTTTTAATGAAACAAAACAAGCTCATCCTGTTTTGAAACAAGACAACCATAGCACATCGTGTCCAATTCCCCTCGCCCAAATGGTCACCTCGGCCATGGCCAAGTTGAAGATGCCGTCGCAGACCGCGACGACACCCAGGCGGACACGAAGGCTGAAGCCCTGGCGCAGCGCAGGGGCGCAGCGTGGGCAGGAGCCTTTTAAGGGCGAAGCTACAGGGACGAAGCAGAATATAAACGGACATGTCATGTGGAATGATGTTGATTCATGATTCATGTGGCATATCTTCGAGGAAGTTTCACCCTGGCAAAAGCAATAATGGAATCATGCGATCTACGTGACTCATGTATGATGTGGTAGATTTTTGCCATGGCTCATTGCACCGGTTGGTCTCCTTAGGGAGCTTGAACCTTTAGAGAGGTTCTATGACCAAATTGACCGATGGCTGCGCTATCCGCTATCAATCAACATAAAGCAAAAGCTCATTCATGAACCATCTGGATGGAGTTGATGGTCCCTCAGGAGAACCCCCTTTTACTTGTGGGGCCTCCAAGCTACTAGCGATGGCCATTGCGATGGCCTCCAAGCTACTAGCGATGGCGAGCCACTTCAAGCCCTCATGCAACAGAGGCCACTTGGTGCCGCTTGCGGCTCCTTTTCTCAGTACCGAAGAAAATGTGCCAAACACCGTCGGGGTGGCCCATTTGCAGAGCGAATGCAACACCTCACCGTTCGTCACGTGCACGTGCTCCATCCGGTGACGATCGAAGCTTCGTGGTCCGAGTACAAAAGCAATTCTCCAAAGGTTCTGATCTCCTGATGTGAGGCCTTATGGAGTTGATTGTGTTTTGTCGGCATGCCTTCAGCGGACCAATTTCTGTCACGGGTGATCCCAAGGTCGAAACCAAGGTTTGCCTACTAGGAGCAAGGTCTTACACATGTTGCTTTTAATTTCTCATGTGATATCGTCATTGATGACTCACAGTCTTGCGTACTCTGTCTTTGTTGCCCTGTCAACGTCCATCTACACCGATCAGCTGAGCTCTCCGAACAATGGCCATGAAGCAAAAGAAGAGCATCAGTGTAAATGCTGGCACGCTGCAAGTGCTATGCAGTTGATTCAGAGACGACAACAATGCCGAACTCAACCGGTTAATGCCTCGGAACAGCTTTGGTGGAGGGAACTGGTTTCATTAGTGCCGTGCTGGGTGCTGGGTGTCCAGATTTCCAGTCCACTCACATAGACCCGGGTCCGTCCTGGCTCCCTGGAAAATGGTGTTCCTCTACCAACCAGTGGTTTTCGGGATCCATGGGATCGTCTTCAGTGTATTCAGTGAAGCTTCAAAACATCGATCTCAGCCATTTCGCCAGCTGCGCCGATGTGCCCTCCCGCCTACATTCTTCACAGGGATGACGAGTACTGTGAGCACCTCAGGGGGCACTTGCGGGGTGTGAAGCCGAGCGGCCGCGCTTTCGACCGAGGGAAGAGGTCAACGAGTGAAGCCCAAACATATCAACTGCAGAAGCTCCAAAATGTGATGGATCTATATACATGGATCATGGATCCATATCCTGTATGGATCTGGATGGATCCATCATATCATTTGTTCAGTCAATTCAAATTGAATATGGAGTTCTTTCTTCAATTCCCAAGACGCAGATGCCACAGAAATTCACAGACCGCACGGCCATCTCGCACGGCCCATCTCTGAGGCCATGGACCGCCAAGCTGCCCACTCGGAAGAAGGTCACACTGGGCAACTTCTCCACGAGATTCTGGTCGCGATCGGATTCCAACCAACGGACGTGTCTCCAGTAACGCATGGGACCCATGGTACGCCTCCAACAAATATGGAAGTGGTTGGAGGCCATTGCCATTGCTACTAAAAGGTTGGAGGCCATCGCTGGACGATCTCTGTGATGGTCCTGTCCTGCCGCTCAATCAGCACCCCCAGGTAGAAAATCAACAGTGCCTGGCTCATCGGCTTTCGTGTGAGAAGAAGTGGAAGCCACTTTCGTCTACATGATAGAACAGGTCGGCGTGGCTGAGGTAGCTAGAAGGACCAACCTTGGCTGGACAGTTTTCTCAAGTTCCAAGCATGACATGAGTGTCATGCAGTCTCTCAACAGAGTTTGTGACAGATTCGACATGCTTCGACTTCATTCAATGGACGTCATTCCTAAAGTCATTGAGCCAACTGCTTGTGGCTAGATGCACAGCCTGTTGCAGCATGGCAAACTAGTCAGTCTTGAGTGGTGCAACACGTGTATCGTCTGAACACCATATCGCTCGTCTGAACCAGATACAGTCTTGGAGTCGATCTCCCCAAGGCCCTTATTGAGTCTGAATCTCCAGATGCCACTAAGAGCAAGAACACTACCTGGCCGTACTACTAGGAACAAAGACGCTACGAGGGGCTCCTGGCATCGCTACTAGGATGCCACAAAACTGGGCCCTGCCAAGCATTTCTCTTCCTCCGATCCCCGTGTCAAGCATCGCCAAAGCATCGCCAGCGTTCACAGTTGGAAGCGCCAGCGTCACAGCTGAGACCCCCGACGGGATTGCCGCAAGAGTCACACTGGACGGTGCTTCTGATTCACCTGCGGGTCATGATCGAACAAGCTTGAGACCCGGAGCCCGTTCGGCCTTTGATTTCGAGATCTTTGAACAGTTGCTGTGTTAGCTGAACTCTTTGGCATCAAATCTGGCAGGTCCGAGCTATACCGTAACAACCCCTCCATTTATCTGCCCATGTTCTCAGCCTTCAATCTTTTTTTTGCCATGGCCTCCACCCACTTTGGCCGTGGAGATTGAGCCCCATCCTTCTTTGATTTCATGCTGACTGGATACGGCACGAAAACAATGTCGTCTCAACCGACTCGCTTTCGACTCGCTCGACTCGCTGCCTGGCTGACTGTAAATCACAATGACACCAATCAGAATCTGTGCAGCGCCAAAGTTTGATGCTTCGGAAGGACATCTACAAGGTGTCGAAGAATTGCAATGGCATTTCGCCATGTAGTCGTTCCCGTACCCATCTGTATATTGGGTCGTTTTGGAGCTCCCTTTGAACATCTTCCAATCCCCAAACGAGTGGATTGTTCCACCAAGAAAGACCAGCAGGCATCGCCCGAAGCCGTGCCACGTTCGGCATCTTGCGATAGGGTTCATGGGAGGCACTTCCATGACTCCTCTAAAAGAACATGTGAACACCATGAAATAATCAAGAAACATAAAGAGAACTTTCAAACCATTTAATACGAATATATATATATATATTCTAATAAATAAACAGGAATAATTCCTCCATTGGAATGCTTTTTCCATTCTTGTTCTTTGCCGATGTTTAGCCGTTACTAACCCGGACGGAAGGTTGATGTTTTCAACACCGAAACGATATCGATCAGAGCTTTTCTGTTTTGCAGAAGGATATGATGATGTTTTTATGTTCGACATGTTTCGCCCAACAGACTCCGAGGATGTCGCCACAAGCACTGAGAGGAAGGTCAGAAGTGAGGCCACGCGCACCACATGTCGCTGCCAAATGAAGTCCTCAGTGGCCACGCATATAAGATCAATATTGCCCTGATCATCCATTGTCTTTGATATATCTGCCGTCGATGGGTGCAATGTGTTCTTTTTTGGACGAGGGTGCATATATTATGATAATTGCTTTTAAATAGGTTGGAGCCCATCGCTAGTAGGTTGGAGGCCATCCTTCATGTTCTCAAGTCTGGAGCTCTATTATTCTTTCCCGTGTAATTAAAGAAGGAAATGCCGTCGAAGAGCAATGGCCTTCAACCTACTAGCAATGGCCTCCAACCGAAGAGCAATGGCCT